CCTCCCGCAAGATGGACCGATGACCTGGTCAAGGTAGCGGGAGCGTCCTGGATGCGGGTGGCACAAGATCGGTCATCGTGGCGATCTTTGGGGGAGGCCTATGCCCAGCAGTGGGCGTCTCATGGCTGAGTAGATAGACAGAATAAGTGAGCGACGGGCCGCGTCCGCGAAATAATACCAGTACCACTCATCCTGATGAAGGGCCCCCGATGGGTTTGAAACAAGTCGGTGCCGCCACTGTACGAATATACGTGAGTGTTTAGCCGTTTTTATATCAGTTTATTATAATGTCTCACGAAAGTTTGAATAATTTAATAGAAATTAAGCACTTCGGGTTTTCACCCCACGTTCTTCCGAAAAGTTGAAATGTTCATTAAATTTAAAAACATAGAAATATTTTCCATTTTACATCTCCTCGTTTATACAAAGTGTAAAAAATGTCTTATGTTTTTTTTATAAATTGCACGAGAAATCTAAAAATTAATTTCGTAGCACTGTTTTGAAATACTTTTTAGTTTTATTTTTTATTTCACATACGACGGACTAACGTTGGCGAGGAATATATATTTATATCTGAAAAATTATGCACTTTTTTAAATTTAAAAATAACGGTTATGTTTCAAAATATTAGTATATTTGATATTTTCACAAATTTTGGCTCCAATCTTTTTTTTTATATCAAAAGGTGGCAAACGAGCGAGCGGCCACCTGAAATCGCTGAAATAGCGAAGTGACAGCATGCACAGAAAGATAATATTTCCCTGCATCCTCTCATCCGGAAAGTCCACTTCCACTTCCCATCCTTTCTTTAAAAGAAAAAGGGTGGGAATGGAAAGAGGACTAAATTAGGCCTCCGGGACGCACATCATCAGACGAAACGCGGAATTGCTTCCACTTGACGCCTGTCTTCTGTATGGTCGTGGTATTTCACCGGGCGAGTCGGGACGATTCATGCGAAGATGTTAAAGCGGGCTCTACCGCTGTTAAATTATATGTTTATTCAGTAGGCTTAAGAATCGGCTATCTGTGTTTTTAATCCAGCGCGAACGGAGTTACAGGCGACAGCTAGTGTTATATTAAAATTATATTGTAGAGTAAGAAATGTTTGCAATTTATTGCTTTACCTTGTAATGCATTATGTAATCGGGTGAAGGTGACCTGTCCTATCCATCATCTTACCACTTTGCAGTAATAGTTTCAGAACTCAAGCTATTGCTGATTCATAATCTTACCTCTTACTAATATTATAAATACAAATGTTAGGATGAATCTCCAGAACGGCTGCATCGATATCGCTAAAATTTGGCATATATGTAGAGTGTAGTGTGGAAGAATAAATTGGCTACCTATTATGTTGTTTTAAAGCCGCGCGGACGGAGTCGCGGGCGAAAGCTATCTTGCTGTATTATATATGCGAAAGTGGATGGTACATGGATGGATGTTTGTTAGTAGTTACATATCTCCAGAACGGCTCAACGCAGATGACATCTGACATAGATGTAGATGTAGTTTGGACGATTTTAAATGACGGACGTAGTCGAAGGCGACAGCTAGTATAAGATATGTATTTCGGTTAGTTCACACTGTCGTTAACATGCACATAAATTTCATTCTTAAAGTCTAAGGAACGACAATATTTTTCTCGCTTATAGAAGTTTCTCTCTAACCCGAGTTTCTCGCTTATGGGAGGTCGTCCGTTTAACATTTACTAGGTTTCACTGTATTAAAAAATGAGTAAGTTTGGATGGCTGTTTGTTAGTAGTTATCTCCAGAAAAACTCCATCTGAAGAAAATTTGGTATAGGTTAAGAGGATACTGTATGAAAGAACACGTAGGATATTTAACAAGTTTTTTCTTAATTCCACGCGAATGAAGTCGCTGCAAAAATATTTTTCTAAAGTTGAAATAAATGAAACTAATAACTTTAGTAAAACTTTTGATTAAGAGTAATCTTGTCTTAATATTAAAGATATAAAATATCCACCGAACATTTTACTTGCAAAATAAAAGTGTTTACTGTACGTAGTATAAACAAGGTTTGCAATTTTCTTCGTACCACAAGAATAAAGCAACACAAACCGACTAACGTATACTTTTACGTCACAATAAAGTGTCGAAACAAGGTTAATAAAGTTCGTGGTTAGTTTAGAGGCAGGGCGTAGTCGTGTCAAAGATGTATAACCACTGGATAGGGTAATTATTTTTTATAAAATAATTTTGAATTTCGAAAAACATAATCTTTATGTCAGGAGGATACGGATGTCAATAAACATTTTATAATTCCATAGAAAGTGAAGTTGTTAATTTTATCTGATTTTTAACAAATAAATAATATAAGACCTTCGACACGCTTAAACCTTTATTGAGCCGATATTAGTACTTAGCTGATAAAAAATGTCTTACAAATATATTGCTCATTTTAGTATAATATTTAGTTTATATTTGAAGTTATGTTTACTTTGTCGATTTCTAATTTCATTTGCGAGTACTACGTTGTATCAAAAATTCTATTCCCGTCTTTTTCTTTACACAATCAAGTAATTCTTCAAACATCAAAGATGTAATATAATCAACACTTTATTAAATTGATAAACGTAAAAATATCCAGCAGCGAAAATATCGTTACGTAATTTATTTTGACCCGATCTAGATGTTTTATATCATGGGTGTAATTCTTTTATAGGTTTCGTTTAATCAGACGCGCCCTTGTGGCACAGGAGGGCGTTACTGCTTGAAGATAAACGCTTTTTATTTTTATCTACAGACTTGTTGCTAGGAATTTGTATATTTACGGGGAAAGTCTGGTTTAAATGTCTCTTGAAGAATATATAACTAACGGTCATAGCTATCTTACTAATATTATAATGCGTATGTTTAGATAGATGGATGTTTGTTAGAAGGTATCTCCAGACCGGCTGCACGGATCTCTCTGATATTTTAACACATTGGCTATTAAATAAGTTTTTTTATTTCGTCAAGTCATTCCTTTCAATATCTTTGACGAGATAGAAATAACAATATGCTTTAAACAAGAATTTTAGTCTCGGAAACTAACGATCAGGCGTTCAATTAAAATGAGACATATTTAAAGTGGCTTTATATTAAGACAGAGCGTAGGTGACTCAGAGGTTAATCACTTGACTTGCAATCTGCAGGTCCTAGGTTCGAATCCCGCCATGTATTTTTCAATTTTCGATTTACGGTGAAGGAAAACATCGTGATAACTGCACATATCTGAGAAGAAATTCAAAGATATGTGTGATGTCAACCCGCACTTGGTCAGCTTGGTTGACTATGGCCCAGTCACTCCTAACTTAGGGTAGGCTCCAAGCCCTCCGGTGAGGACGTATAATGAGCTGATGATGATGATATCAGAACATTTCGGATATACTCGTGGCAACGTGAACAATCAATAAAGATGTCCAGGCGCGTGTAAACAAACAAAGATAAGATATCAAGCTACTTTAGGGTTGTCAAACTTTAAGTATTAAATTTTTAATCTTTAAAATATGCGATGTATTCAGGCAAAGGTATTCATCATTCAGCCAGATAAAGAAATATTATATTTTCTACAAATATTATTCCTGTTGTTTATATGTTGATAGAACTCACACTTTTTATTTCTTTTTTTTGTTTTTTTAAATTTGTATTTTTATAAAATTAACTTAAGGGACAGATCTACAAGTCCATCGTAAGACCTGTCGTATTGTACGGATCTGAATGTTGGGCCACCAAGGTTTCGGATGAAAGAAGATTGCATGTAGCTGAAATGCGTATGCTAAGATGGATGTGTGGTGTGACAAGGAAGGATAAAGTTAAAAATGTGTATATTAGAGGAAGTTTGAAAGTAGCGCCAGTGATCGAGAAATTGAGGAGTAAAAGATTAGCGTGGTTTGGACATGTTATGAGGAGGGATGATGATGTTATAAGCAAAAAAGTAATGAGATTGAATGTGGATGGCTACAAGGGTAGGGGAAGACCAAAAAAAGTATGGAATGACTGTGTGAAAGAGGATATGCGTAAGAAGAGGGTAGACTCGGATATGACGGCTGATAGAGATGTATGGAGGAGTAGTACATGCTGTGCCGACCCTCGATAGGGATAAGGGCAGGTTGATGATGATGATGTTGATGATGATAAAATTGAAGTTGTTATATTGATGAGCTACGTTTAGGTTTCTTAAGAATTAAAACATATTTTGTGTACATATACTAAAGAGGAAATATTTGACTGTTTGCATTGAAAAGGTTAGGCTATATTTCTTGTGATTATTTTCTTTAATAACGCGCTGATGAATTTTCTAAAAACTGCAAATTATTCATATTTCTCTCGTAGATAAATAAATATATTACCAAAAACAATAATTTCTGATTTATACTATTTAAATTAATAAAAAATGTGTCAGCCCTACCTATTTGAAAACATCGCAAAATCGGCCACTAACTTAAGCGCAGATCGTTGTTTTTGTGTGTTCAGATTTACAGCAAAGACATTAATGCTTCCAAATCTAGTTAGACTTAAATCAAGTATCAAAAGAGTAGTGAATAAAACAGAAATCTTACTAATATTATAAATGCGAATGTTTAGTTGGATGTTTGTTAGACGGTATCTCCAGATCGACTACATGGATCTCGCTAAAAATTTACATACATGTAGAATATAATCTGTTAGACTGCATAGGACAATAATAAGTGCATTTTAGCTAGTACACGCGAAATAAAAAAAAAAACTTAATTAAGTACGGATTCGTGGGCATAGCTATTTTACTATTAGAATTATGTAGAAATGTGTGAAATTTAAACATAGATATATAGAAGTGATTAAAGAAAACATTGAATCAAATTCTGTAAGATTTATATTATACTGCAATTAAAAAGCTTTATCTCATATTAATTTATCGAATTATAAAAAATAAACTTGATATCCTCGTTAAACACAAAAGGGAATAATTAATATTTTGTCCAAACAAATTCATATTAAACATAGAAAAAATCGATTACCTTATTTCTGCTGCAATTTAAGCAATTAAAAAATATATTTACACTTTCACAAAATAACTAATAACACAAAAATAGAGTCAGTTTGTTCACAAAAAACTTTAAATAATATTATAGTTAGTTTTAATAATAAAACACAATTATAAAAGCACTACGTAGTTGTACGTATGAAATGAAACACAACCGATCGCGTTGGACGCCCGTATCTGACTGAC